TTTTTTCCCAATGAATTTTAAGAAAATAATTCATTAACACATTAGAAATATTTGAGTAGTTCTTCTGGGTATAAGACCAGGTGAACTCACATTAAGTATGATCATTCAACATAATTTTAATTTTATGGATTCTGTATGCATTATAGTAATAACTCCCACCATTATGCTTATTCTATCTAGAATGTTCTGTGCTGCATACATTAGGTCCATTACTCATCTCCTCATCTTCTGAAGTGGACATGATTTTGCAGATGGAAAGTGAGAATAAGAGCTGTGAAATGATGTGCCCAAGGTCACATAGTTAGATAAGAAATCAACAAGTTGAAATCCATTCAGAAAGGGTCTGTAAGCACTTACAAATAGAGTAGCTCCTTAATCTGCAATTCTAGTCCTGCAAGAGTTAGAGGTCAAGGTTAAATCACATAGATCCAAATACTGTCTCTGCCACTTAACAAGGGGGTGACCTGTGGGACTGGTCTAGGTCTTGGTTTTCTTCGTTTATAAAATTGGGGGTTAAGTACCAAAGTTTTATATGCATGTGTGTGACTATTGATTTGGATAGTGTACGTATGATTTTATCCCAGTGTCTGCTACACAGTAAGTCCCAGTAAGTGTGAGTTGTTTTTGTATTGTTATGATTAAAGGGTCTGGACCAAGCTCTCTGAGCAGATGATCTTGAGTATGACACAAAATTCGAATTAGCAAATGGTATAGAGATGTTCAGTGCCTTTTCCCTTTAGTGTTGGCATAAAGTCTTTTTTTTCCTGAATATTTATTTTGGTATTATAATATTAAATTGTTCTCTAAGGTAGAGAGTAAAACTTATATCTTTGTCTTCTCACATTATATATAGTAGTACCAGTTAGGACTTGAGCTCTCAAATACCCTTATGTCCCACAAACCATTATATTTACCTTCTAGAGAATTACTATGACAACAGTTCCATCTTTGAAAAATGATCACTTTTCCTCAGTGCTGGGTTGGTGTTTAAGAAAGTGAGTTTTTATTAATCTTACCTGTATGAAATTATCCTGCAACTGTAGATTTACTGCCACTAACATCTATCAATTGTAGTTTAAGTCCCATGGCAATTAAATTCATTCAGGAAAATCCTAGAATCCAAAGAAACATTCTTACTTAGTTCAGCTGCAAAACACCCCTTGGTTACAATCAAGAGGTAGTTTAAACATGGGGCAATTTGGTTGTTTAATGTAATTAGCATTCTTAAGCCCTGTAAAAGTTCTCCATACATTTCTCATATATTCCACATATGCAGATTAAAATCATGTTCCACCCTGGCTGGTGTTGCTCAGTGGATTGAGCACTGGCCTGAGAACCAAAGAGTCGCTGGTTTGGTTTCCAGTCAGAGCACATGCCTGGGTTGTGGCCACGTCCCCAGTAGGGGGTGCGCAAGAGGCAACCACACACTGATGCTTCTCTTCCTCTCTTTCTCCCTCCCTTCCCCTCTGTCTAAAAATAAATCAAGTATTTTAAAAAGATAGGTTTAAAAAATAAAATAAAATCATGTCCCTCTTTTCATGTTTTAGAAGCTTAGAAGCAGAATCCTTATCTTCTTCTATGGGACAGTGAGATGCTGTGAACTTTCACCCCCACACACCACTAAGAATGTAGAAATGATACCAGAGGGATCAGAATCTGAGAGACATAGGCAGAATGAAACAAAAATCAGTGATGCTGACTAAGAGTTCGGAGCCAATCAGATAGAAATCTGAAATATTATATGGAAGTCCATCAGGAAGATCAGTGTGATTTGGGACTACATAAACCATGGGATTATATAACAAATGAAGGCAAAATAGGATGCCCTAACCTGAAGCATTGTTCCTCAGGACTGAAAGGGAATAAGTAATTGGAGGGAATCCAGAGGAGATCATCTACAATGATGGTTTTAAAACAAAATATGAACTTTATAGTGTAGCCAAACCACGAAGTCAGACCCAAGGGGCATGATAAAAATCTACAAATAGCTCAAGGGTCTTAACACCAAGGGGAAAGAGGAATTTTGGCTGGAGAAAACAAAAATTTCAAGGGATAAAGTTAAGAAAAGGGAAAGTTAGGTTTAATAGACTATATCATTTGGTAGTAAGATGTATGTGTTTGTAGAACAGTGTCTCAAGAAAATAGAAAGAAAACTGATGAGTTATCTAGGATCCTTGATGTTAGACAAAGGACTCCAGAACTTTCATTAGACTGTCCCTGTGCTGTGACCAGATGGAATAGATTTTTTTATTGTAAATTCTTAGGATAATTATAACAGGGAGTAAGTAGTGAACAGACTGTTCTGTCCTTTAATAAAAGGTATCCTAAGGCTTTGATTAACTTCAGCTTTAAGGAAAAAGTAAACAACTATGGATACTAGTTTTCAATGGCAAATGCCCTGATAAAGGAGCAAAGTCTTAAAGACCTGATTTTTAAAAAAATTTTATTTAGTTATTTTTCAAGTACAGTTTTTTGTCTATTTTTCCCATCCCAGCCTCCCCCACCCCTTGCTCCCCACCTCCCTCCCTTTTCCACCCCCCTTAGTTCTCGTCCCTGTGTCCTTCCTATTTGTTCCTCCAAATCCCTCCCCCTTTTTCCCCTTAACTTCCCTTCCTTCTCCCCTCTGAAGACCTGATTTTTAAAGTACATATATTCCAAATCATTTATTTATAGACCAGCAGTTATAACGATTCTTAAGCAGGCTGATGAATTATAAGAAAGATTCTGGGGATCAGTGTAACAACACCAGCCATTTTTGAAATTGGTAAATGAAATCTGGATCTTCCTTAATTGAGTTTGGCATAAGATGACAGTCAATCAGTAAAGCCAATGTGAGTAGGTCTATATAAGCAAAGGGATTATATAACAAGAGTAAAATAGGATGCCCTAAGAATGAATGAATATAACATAAGCCGCAATGACTGAAAAGTAAACCTAATGGCAATCAGATTGGAAATCAAAATAGTTTAAAAAATAGCATTTAAAAATCCAAATAATTTCTTATAAAATCTTTCCAGAAGAGCCATTACATTCCACCCCCCCCCCCGTGTTTTAAAAGCACGTATACTTACACCGGATTTTTAAAAAGGAGCCTGAGCTAAATATTTGTGATTATTTAAAACAACTTATTCATTGTTTCCAACCGGGAGGCAAGCCTCAGGCTAATGGAGGGAGGGTCAGGACCCCTTGGAAACAAGATGATGAATGAACTGAATAAGTTTGCTCCAAGCAGCAAGTGCCAATAGAAGTTTCCCTCTGCTCATTGGATCTCCGATATCCATGACCAAGAATGTGTGAATTGGTGCCTGCAGGGCATTCTTATTAGCCCTACTTAATTACAGCAGGTTTGTATTTCCAACCCCATGGTCATCATATGAGCTTAGAGAAACAGAATGTATATGATTCCTAAATAACATTTGCTCAGCCACCTTGAGTTAAAAGTGATTCTATGAAGTGTGACTTTGTTAACCATCTACTCCAAATGCCAAAAACCAACGGGGCATAACCAATTTCACACAATGGTATTCAAATGGTAGAGACATTAAGTGTTTTCATTACTAGTGACAAGTTAGTTACAAGGTATTGCTAAGAAAAGGGCAGGCAAGACCCACATTCTTTTACTTCTAATGTGACTTGTTTGAGGAGAGAATAAAACAAACACCAACAATGTCCCCAAAATAATTTGGTGTGTGTAGTCAGGCAAGGAAGTAAGGGACTTTAAATGCTGTGCCTCTCCATAGCACACCTAATCACCAGCCACTGAAAATACTAAAGTTTCAGGGTAAGAAGAGATGGATAGTGGTGAAATGGAAAATTTGTATCTTATTTGGTCTTCAGGCAGCAGATAGTTAGTTCATAAAGTTACTGAAGAAATGCCCTGCGTGCAAACCATCTTGCTGCATTTACAAAAAAAAAAAAAGTACCTGAGAAATCCTGGGGTGGGAAAGAAGCAGCAAATTTTTCTGTTAATTAGATATCACTACATGCCTTCTCCTAGATAGTCAAGTATCTAGGAACATTGAGCACACTTTTTAAAAAAACAAAGAAATTAATTTCCCCCAGAAAATTTTATAGGGAATAAAAGAAGCTTTCCAAAATCAGAGTTGGACAATTCTGGTACATACACAACAAAGCGAATGTTCGTGTCCAACACCTGTATTTATAAGTTCATCTTAAGTTTTTTTTCTTTAATAAAAGAAATGGTAAAGGAAAGTCGCCTTTACATTCTCTGCACCCTGAAGTAGTAAAAGGGACACTCGAAAACCATTACACAAAGTACGCTGGCATTTCCAGCATTATCTCTGCTTTCCAATGAGAAGGTTGTAAAATGCGTTGCAAAACTTAAATGTTACGTCAAAAGCCCGCAGAGAGACGGGCGAGGCTTTGCGCTTTACAGATTCCAGCGGCGGGATGGTAGCGGGAGAAGCTGCTCCTAGACTGGTTTCCAAGCAGGGAATATTGACGTCGCCAGCATTTTCCAGCCTCCTAGGAATGTGGCTTTGGCGTGCTTCGCCCAGAGGCGTACAAGATCCGAACCAGAAACCCAACGCTTTCAAAGCGCTAATCTCCGCAGCCTCCAGGCTGACGCTGTGTCCAGCGCCTGCCCTACGCCTGGAGGCGCCTGACCCCGCCCAGCCTCCCTTACTCCTCCTTCTGGAGTACATTTTCGGAGTGAGGATTCCCCCCACCGTCCCAGCACTTACTAGGTCCCATCTCCAGCTCTTTTGAACTCTCTATCTCTCCTGTTTAAAAAGCAAAAACAGCAGGGTCGGTGGGGGTGGGGGAGCAGTGGGGAAGGAAGGCAGGACATTTAACTTCAACTTCAGAGCGACTGTCCTGGGTTGCCAATCTAACACCAGTGGGTGGGGTGCAATCTGACACTTCCTTTCCTTTCCAGAAACGTGAGTGGAGCTGGCGCCCCCCTCGATCTGGGGGAGGGGAAGCCGGGGAGAAGGTCCACACTTCCGTCCTCACAGCTTTCTCCCTAGGAGACCGGGTTTTTGGGGCGGCTCCCAGGTTGGGCGTCTGGAAAACTTCTCCAGGTTCTGCTTATTCCTGCTCCTGGCTCCGCCTTAGCTTGAGACCTGGCTTCGCTCCCGCCCTACCAGTCCCGGCTGCCCGCTTCCCGCTGCCTCTATCCTGAGTGTGCATGCGGGGACATCTCCGCGCCTGCCCTGGGCCCAAAGCTGGGTTGCGAATATCAAGAGTCCCTCCGAACGGACCATGGGTATCTGCCCCTAGGGTTCTCTCCTTAGCTCCCTGAGCACTGCCAGGAATTCTCTCCCATTGTAGACACTCAGCCCTTGGAAGGCCCTGGGCGAAGCGGGCTCCGTGTCCCCGCTTTGTGGCAAGACTGACACTCTGCGGAACCTGGAGCTTGGAGATACCCTTGCGCCTAACCAGTTGAAGGATTGGGCGCAGCAGCCAAGTGCAGGCCAGACACGCAGCTTCAGGGGCCCCGGGAGACGGCGACTGTACTCCCGCGGCGCAGCCCGGGAGCCTAGCTCCACCGCTGGAGGAAGTCCCTCTCGCTGCATTAGGAGCACGGACGCGCCCTGGGCGCACGCCCAGGAGGCCTCCTCCCCAGCCCACCGCGACCATCCTTAGGGTGCAAGGAAGAGGTTGCTGGAGACTTCGAGGCTGCTCAGCGCCAGGGAGCAGGAGCCCCGAGTCTCTTTCCTCAGCTGGGAAGCAGGAGTAGCGCTGGCGCGCTGGAGCTGGGAACACAGGGAGCGCCTGACCTTCCTCCTCCTTTTTCTTTCTATCTCCTTCGCAACTTCGGCTCCGGGGGAAGGCTCTAGCCGCTGTAGGCGCCCTCGACCCTTTTCATAGAAGGCTGGTGATGGATCTCCTGCTTTTGCCCCCACCGGGGCACTTGTAGTGCCCTAGTGGCACGTGAGCCTGGCACTGCCCACCACCACCCTCTGAGCTTGGCAGCATCTCCTGAGTCCCTTTTCTTTCCGCGGCACAAATCGCCAGTATTCCCAGACCGGGAAGAACGTGGCCCTCGGGCATAGCCCTGCCCTGATGTCTGCGCAAAGCCTGCTCCACAGTGTCTTCTCCTGCTCCTCGCCAGCCTCCAGTGGCTCGGCCTCAGCCCAGGGGTTCTCCAAGAGGAAGCTGCGCCAGACCCGCAGCCTGGACCCAGCCCTGATCGGCGGCAGCGGGGGCGAGGTGGGCGTGGAGGGCGGCTCTCCGGGGGTCACCGGGGGCCGCCTATGCTCCCCATTGTCCCCGGCTGAAGGCCTTGGGGCCCGCTCGACGTCCTCTTCCAGGGGCCCACACCCCCGAGCCAACCGAATCCCACCCCCTGGACCCCTCTGCTCATCCTTCTCTACTCCAAGCACCCCGCAGGAGAAGTCGCCGTCTGGCAGCTTCCACTTTGACTATGAGGTCCCCCTGGGTCGCAGCAGCCTCAAGAAGAGCATGGCCTGGGACCTGCCTTCGGTCCTGACTGGGCCAGGCAGTGGCCGCAGCGCCATCCTCTGCTCCTCCGGGGGAGGCTCCAACAGCATCTTCGCTTCTCCCAGGAGGTGGCTCCAGCAGAGAAAGTTCCAGTCCCCACCCAGCAGCCATGGCCACCCCTACGTCGTGTGGAAGTCCGAGGTAGGGTCTGGTGCCATGGGTCATCATGGCCCAAGGATGGACACCTGGGAAGCTGTTTAATTTCATCACATTTACAGAGCCAGGAACTCTCTGAGGCTGTTTCTCTTTGGCTGGTGAATGGTTGGTTCCTGGAAATGGGTCCTAGTGGCCACACCTGTGCCTGTTGTTAGGGCTTCTTGGCTCCACTTGGAGCAGTGGTGGGAGCTGGAGGAAGACTTGGTGTTCTGCTTTCCTGTTTGCCTGCAGGCCATTCCAAAGGGTCCTCTTATCTCCTCACCAAAAGTTGATATGTTTAGGAACTCAAATAATCTATTTCTAAGTGGTTTGTAAGGGCTAGATGAAATATGCCTGCCATCTGGTTGTTCTACAGATAATTCAAGAACATTATTCTGGAGGGTGTCATTGTGGTTCCGTGTGTTTGGGTGGTAGAGGGGAGTAACTACCAAAATTCTCTAGTTTTGATCTTCTGAAATTAGAACTCTATGGTATGGAGTACTAGTTTAATATAGGGGAAAAAATCTCTGATTAAGGCTATGAAAAGTAATGGAAACATGCTGAAATTCCACTAAAGACAACTAGCAGTTGTCCTAATTTCACTTCTTTTACTTATTTCATTAGTGAAATATATGTGAGTCGGGAATCATTAATAAACAAGGTCTCGGAGCTCTCTGGTTAGGAAGAATGGAAAACAGAGCTATTGGGAAACTGGTTGATGGGTACAAGGAAAGCAACATGCTTTTACAAAATAAATAGTAGTTGTTTTTAAAACAAACAGCTCCTATCTCAGTGCACAAACTCTATAGATTTGCCTTGGATCTGTTTCCATAAAGGAAGGGAGATTCCATCAGTTGTAATTAAATATTTTAAAGTACTATTAGAATTACAGAAATGAAATGCAATACCATGTAATTGCTGGAGATTTAGAATAAATAAAGGAAACAGAACCAAGAAAAATGTTTGAAAATAACATCCAAAATCATACTTTACTCTGTTAACATGAGATAACTATGAGATTTTGGCTTTTAATAAATCGCCTTAGAAAAATCAGCAGTAGTTATCAGAAATATTAGCATCACATACTAATAAAATATTAGTTTAACTGTGTCAAAGTAGCAGCTGCTGTTGGGTGGGGAGTATGATTACAAAAACTAACAAACATTGCTGGTGATTCTGCCTATTTTCTTGAGGAAGACAGGCAGGAGAAAGAAAAGTCAATTCAGAGAGCAAGAGATTTTCTCCAAACCAGGAAACTCAGCATTAGAAAGACTCAAATATCAAAAATATAAATATTGAATTTCTCTTGGTCTCTGGAAGGGGCTGCATTTCCGCTGTATATCAGAAGCACGCATTATCAGATTAATCTGTTGGAGTTGAGAGAAAGAGACAAATGAAAAAGCAAGCCAAGTTCTTGGATTAGATAGCCACTGACATCACCTTTAAACCTAATTGCATCATTAAGAAAGTTCCCATTTTCTATAGCATCCATACATATTTGGAATGTAATATATAGGAGCAATTTGTCACTGTTATGACCAAAAGGCATTCTATTGTAAATGATCACAACTGGCTAGAAATTACTTTTTGGCCATTAAATCTCATAATCAATGGACAAGTATCTGAACTGTAGCTATACTGGTGGCTTTAAACTGTTTTATGAGTATTTGTGCAGTCTGCAAGCTTATCTACTGGGACTTTCACCTCTTTGCAATGGTTAAAACTAAGTACATAACCATCTAGCAAAAGAACAAAATTTTCTCATAAAGTGTTCATCTGTGTGTGTGTGTGTGTGTGTGTGTGTGTGTGTATGATCCATTTATCCTTGAGGCAGACATAGAGTGAACGTGTAGAATCTTGGCATGAAGATCTAAGGCTGATTTTGTTTAGTAGAGGCCCAGATATCCTAAAGTAGCCCCTGGGTCTGGAATTTAATGGCCTGGATTACCTTTTAAAGGTTTAATGCCTTGGAACCCTCTCAAAAACCAAGGAAATTCATCTTATTGAGTGCTGCTTGTCCTTCTCACTGGCAAGCAAGCCAGGTCCTTTGTCCTAAAAGAGAATTTTTACTAATGATGTCAAAAGTTTGGCAAATGATCACTTTGCAAGGCTACTTATGGGGCCCTGAGGGCTGAGAGCTGGTTCGTACAGATTTGATTCTTGTGCTTTTCCTGGTTGTTCTGGCTCAAGGTTTCTCAGTCTCTGCCCTATTGACACTTGTGGCTGAATAATCCTTTTTGGCCTGGGCTGTCCTGTGCATTTTAGGATGTTTAACAGCATCCTGGGCCTCTACTCACTAGCACCCATCCCCACCAGTGTGACAATGAAAAAGGTCTAAAGATAGGTGTCAAAATTGCACTAGCTGAGAATCACTGTACCAGTGAGTTGAATGTAGTGTTCCATGCTGGCTGTCTAGTGAGTGCCTCAGAAGTGCTTTCAGCTGGCACAATGTTTCCCTGGGGCCTCCATTCAATTTTGAAACTATGTGGATCCCTCTCCATGGATCCTTTAGAGTTTATTCGCTTTTCTGTTTCTCTTCTATTGAATCCATAGGCAGACCTGATAATTCACCTTCCTTCAGATTTAGCCAATGATGGATCATGTCCATTTCTACTTAGTTCTTTGAGCAGATTCTCTGGTTTTAAATTTAATTCTGTTACAACGGCTCCCACTCCCAATAGTCTCATAAGTGCCTGTAGCTCTATGAGTTATGCTCACTCAAAGCTCACAAATGGCCTAAAACCTGGAGGTGTTAGTTGAAATCATCTACAGCTCTATTAATATTCCAGGGTTGCTTTAACAAACTCTGATTCATGGACATGCTGGGTAGAATGTCTGTTGAGTAGAAAAAGGGTAAATGATGCATGATATAACTGATACATGCTTCTAAACTTGTATTCTTAGCAGCCAAGTAATGTCCCTGATTCTGATCACAGACAAGGTGTCATTCCAACTGTGGGGTTCTCCTGATTTTCTTGGATCAGAGCTGGGATTATGCTCATAGCTAATCTGGAGTTTCCCAGCTTTGATAATTCATAATTAAATAGATTTTTCTATATCTATGACTTCTTTTCTTCACTCATGTCACCAGCACTTATTGAGCACAGTCACTTCTCTTAACTACCAGGAGGCAGAGAGGCTAAAATATGATGCTAGCTCTTAAAGAGCTCAGAGTCTTCTGAGGAGAATGGATGAATCAACCAGTAGGTACAGTGCACAAGGATCACAAAACAATGAAAAACAGGGATAGGGGGATGGTGGTGTGATGGTTCACTATACTTTGGGGAATCATTGGAAATTTTCACTTGATCTCAAGTAGAGAACAGTTGAGCTTGGTCTCAAGGATGACTGCCATTTATGAGAAGAAGGAAAGTGATTCCTTGATGAAAGGGAAAAGAGTAGACACACTCAGAGGTGTTGGTGATGCTAGTTTCCTATGAAGAATACCTAGAGGGGCTTAGGAGCAATGATTTTTTTGGAGGAGGAGGTTAGGACATCTGCGGTTTAATATACGCTGCAACTATGTAGATTTTTATGTAGTAAGCTATTGAAAGCAGAACTGGACATGTATTTAGAAGATGACTAACTATGGACATGGATAAAAATGGCAGGAGGGTGAAAGCACATTGTCTACCCTTCAAGGCACCTGTTGGCATCAGATCTGCAGAGAGATGAAATGTGTCGAGTGTGTGTTTGAAGTTAGAAGTTTGGTGTGCCTGGAGTATAGGCTGTATCTTGTGCTGTGTTGGATACTAGTACAAGAGGTTGGGTAGCATTAATTATGCAGATCACACTATTCACATCTCAGGAATTTGGACTGTATGTTTTGCAGAGTAGTGTTGTTCAAAACTGGAGGCAACTTTGTCCCCAGGGCACATTTAGAAATGGCTGAGGGCAGTTTTGGTTGACACAGCTAGGGATGGTGTTGTATTGATTTTCTATTGCTGCTGTAGCAAATTACCCCAAACTTAGTGGCATAGACCAAAACTAATTTATTATCTTAAATTTCTGGAGGACAGAAATGAAGTCAAGGTGTTGGCAGGGCTGTGTCCCCTCTGAGGACTCTAGGATCTGTATATTTTGCTTTTCCAGTGGCCCATTTTCTTCATTTTCAAAGCTAGCCATGTTAAAATCTTTCTTCCACATAGTTATTTCTCCCTCTTAAGCACGCTTGTGATAGCATTGGGCTCACTTGAATAATCCAGGATAATCTAATTATTTTAAGGTCAGTTGATTACTAACCTTTAATTCCATCTGCAGCCTTATTTTTATTTTGCCATGTAACTTAACATATTCACAGGTTCCAGAGATTAAGATATGGATATCTTTGGTGAGACATTATTTCACCTGCTACAGGGGAGGTTCTACTGGCATCTAGTGGTTAGACACCAGTGATGCTGCTGAACAGTCTACCATATATAGGACAGCCCCCACAACAGAGTCAACTGGTCCTCAATGTCAAGAATGCCCAGGCTGAGAAACCCTGTGGTAGACAATGGGGGAAACTGGTGATTTTTAAAGCACTGGGGTGTAACATGATCAGATATGTGTTTTAGAGAGGTCACTCTGATGTCTGGTGGGGAGGAAGGCATGTGAAACAAGGGGGAGGATAAATGCTCAGAGGAGGTGGGCTTGGGGAAACCATTCCAAGGATCCTATAAACAAATGGGAGATGGCATATACACATAATACTTCTATATTTCTTACTTTTCCATTTTTAGCAAATTGTTTTCTTGCACTATTGAAATGCTTTTAATGAGTTTGTCTCTTTGGACCATTGGTTCTCAACTGGGGGCAAGTTGGCATTCTCAGCACATTTGGCAATACCAGGTGCCATTTTTTATTGCCAGAGCTGAGATGGGGGGATGCTACTGGCATCTAGTGGGTAGAGGCCAGGGATGCTGTTAATCATCCTACAGTGCATAGAATAACTTCCCCAACAAATAACTATCCTGCCTGAAATTTCAATAGCACCAGGGTTGAGAAAGCTTCTGTAATATGCTACC